CTGGAATCAGTAGCGTACCTCTTTTTTATTTTCTTCGGGGAAGTCTGCCATGGCAAGGACTGAAATCTCAACCGAATGATTACCGTTATACGCGTATTTGCGATATGAAAGCGAAGACGTCCTCGGAGACTCTTGCCGATGGGCACCCCAAAGAGTTTGCAAGACTTTTGGATTATGTGCGTGCCTTGAAGTTTGAGGAAACTCCGAATTACTCGTTTTGCCTGCAGTTGCTGAATGATGTGCTTACTTCGCGTGGTGAGACATATGACTATCAGTATTCGTGGTTGGCGAAGTTAGACCCACGGTGGGCAGAGGAAACGAATGACGTAGAGTCAATGGAAGAAGAATTTCTTGACGTCAACGCGTCATCCATGGCGCGGTATTACCACCGGCCATCATCCGCAAATGCATCACAGTATCAAACCATGACCGACGAGGAATTTGATAGGCCTTTTGGACAAAAGGGGGCGGACAATTCATGGAGGTTGTGCGATTTGTACAATATAGACCTCTCTTTTTAGTTGTCATTGATATCATTATTTAGTTCTTATTTTTATCTCTCAGTATATATATATATATATATACTCTTTGCAAGCAGCATAGTGTCACCCGAAAAATGGGTTTGATGATATTATTTTTTTTACCATTGTTATGTTTTTATCTTTTTAAAGTGGACTTTTTTTTTTTTTTTCCTTCAGAGCCCTAGTTGATTGAAATGACGGAGTGATACCGCATTTCTTCTACCCATTAATGGCATATCACAACTTTTTTTTGTCTTGCTGCTAATTCTATTTGATTTTTCTTTCTTTCATTCTTTTTTTTTTTTTTTTTGTTGAGTGTGTGTTTAGCAGCCGAGCGTCGGTAGGTTTGTTTGTAAATTCAGAGGAACTTTGAAAATGACCGCCACTTGGAGCCCTCAGCTTGTTGAAGAACTGCTTTTCCGGCAGTACATCAAGGGCGAGGATGTGTCCATGCTACTTCCTCCTCCTCCGGCCTTGGCGGTCGATCAATACATGGAGAAGTATGAACAAAGCACCAAGATGATGTCTTCTTATGTTCGCAACGGACTGACAGCGACCCTGACGTCGCAAAATGTCAATACGGCGTCGAGGATTTATGGCGCCACACCAGTGAAGGGGCACGCGTCGTTCTCTCGGGCGGCTAATGCACCTTTAACTGCTGCGGATTCTTCCGTAGATCCCAGAGCGCAGTTGAAGTGCACTCCCAGTGCAAAGGAACTCCCTCCCTCTGTGCTGGACTCACCCGTTCCAGCTGCAGCCAACGCTGCGGCAAGACAAGCAAATGCTTCCCCGTCTGCTTATGTGAGGAGAAATCGAGTGGAATGGCCCTCATCAGTGCCCAGCAACGCATCCCTCAAGAGCTCAAGCCGCTCAAAAGTGGCGCATTTGACGGCAAAGCGTGTGGCCGCTCAAGAAACTGTTGATCCTGATCTTGTCTTTGCCCAGAACCCTGGGGAGCTTCCCCTGCATGCGATATTTGCAAGCTTTCCCAAAGCTCTAGACTCTCTTGCAGCCATTCGTGGCGCCAGTGGGGACTGGCGGAACGACACTTTTACCACAGAAGAGGAAAGTCAATACAAACGGGACTTGGGCTTTGTGCATTTGGGACCCAGCCAGTGCCTCCTCAGTAGATCTAATCTTTTACACAAGTAAAGGTGCACATCGCTCGACCCTTCTCGCTTTCAGCACTTCTTGTTGGTATTTTTTTGGCGTGCTACTTGTTAGATAACTAGAAATAAATTTTTTTTTTGCCGTTTGTTCTTTTGTTTGTTATTTGACGCGCATGTTTTTGTTCATCCCCCCTGGAATGCACCGAATTTATTTATTTATTTTTTTTTCAGCGGAAAAAAGACATTTACACAAAAATACACACGCAAAAACAACAACAATAATAATAATAATAAACGAGGAGAGAAAATAAAGGATGTGAGAGTGGCTCTTGAATTTCCGTGTCTATACGCATATTCTTGCTTTAGTTATTCTTTTTTAAAATTTTCTGATGCACGAACACATACTTATTTACGCATGTCTACAGAGTTGGAGTTAGTTTTTTTTTTTTGTTTTTGTTTTTGTTTAGGGTACTTGTTTGATGAAATACCCGCCAGGGACTCTTGTGTGGATTAACTGCGATGACGGGGAGTGGTGGCCTGCCGTTGTGCGGGAGACGGACAAGGAATTGCTTCTTGTGGTTGGAGGAGGATATGATATGTGTGTTGAGTTCTACCATGACCCCGGAAACCTATATCCAGTGGAGTCAGGAAGCACCGGTGTCCGCATGTTTCATAGGGCCGAGGATGAACGCGATACGGCCGAAAAGAGCTTTTTTCGCGTAACTGCGACACAAGAAGCTGTAGAAAGGGCGTTGCTAGATAGCACCCGTAGTGAGGTACCAACGGTAGACCCCGCGCCCTATACTCCAGAGGAGCTGCGGTGCATGTCTGCTCTTCTTAAGTCGGTCAATCATACCACTGCATCTCATCTAAGGAATACTCTTTTAGCGCAAGATGGAATTGATCTTTCTTCGCGAGGCGTACGGAAACTGATGACTGAAAGGGAACCAAAACGCCGAAAAAGACCGACACGATCCCTGGAGGACATTGTGCCGCCATCCCATGTTGTAAAGGTGATTCATGAAGTCGATTCCAACCCTAGACCAACCGAATTTTTGGTGGTGCCTCAGGCAAGTAGGCCGCAATGGACATTTCAGGAAGCGTTTGATTCTTCTGCTTTGGATATAGTGCGAAAGGAAGTTTTTGAAAACAAGGAGCGGTTTGTGCTCTCACCATTGTACCGTTATTTGGATCTTTTAGGGGCCGTGTCTGTGGATGGCGTACCTGTGGAGACGACCCTGCCATCGCCGATTGCATTACATGAGGTCCCAGAAGGGGGTCTGTTGGCTTCTCGGCGCGTGCTACTCGTTCCTCTTTCAGCCTCTTTATTTGAGCATACTATTGGGTGGATGGTTCCTTTTGAGTACGAGGGCGCTACCATAGCTATGAGGCTTTTTGTGAATGGAGCTGTTGTAGAGACTCCATGTAATTGTTCGTTGCCTTCGGGAAAGGAAGCCGTGGCTGTAAAAACTGCTGCCGGGGCTGATATAACCAAACACGTTTTACACAAGGAACTTTTTTCCCTTGCAGTTGGTTTCACTGGGGTCATTGAGGATATGGCTCTTTGGAAGGGTGTTATAGCTGCCGTGTATGTAGATCGTATCGATATGGATGCACTGGTTGACAGGGTTGTGTTGAACTATAAGATGCCTCCTCGTCGCAAGCGCCGCGATGATGTCGTTGGTGTGCAGGTGAAGATCAATTGTCCTATTACGACACTTCCGTTAAGCATCCCTGTACGAGGTCATTTATGTGAACACATGCAATGCGTGGAATTGCGCTCTCTCCTCATGCAGTGTGCTCGTACCAATGTGTGGAATTGTCCACTTTGCTGGGCGCCTACAACACCGGATACAATCGTGGTTAACTACAGATTGAAGGAATGGTTGGAAACACATCAATCCCAGCTGGAAAAAGTGGATTTTGTTCTCGAGACACCAGCAGGAGTGCCTCTTCGCCCTATTTGGAAGCGAGATATTTTTAGGAATGTTGCTGACGTCATTGCTCTTGAATAACGGGGACTGGTGCTTATTTCTTTTTTTTTTTTTTTTTTTGCTTGAAATTGAAGATGCGAGTAAAATGAAAACTTATTGTCAAATTTTTTTTTTTTTTAGATGTTTGTTGTGTAATGCCGAACAACGTAGTCTTTTCACCGCGACGTTTCTAGTGGCGATCGTTTGTTCATTTATCTCTTGGTCATAACTGACTTTTTTTTTTTTTTTTTTTTGTTGAGCGACTTACTTCTCCAATCCATTTCTTTTGTCTGGCGTAGTTCATGTGCTTGGGGTTTGATGGATGATCTCATTCGCTCAGAAGCGGACTGCAGAAGGCATATCGTTTCGGCCGAAAGCAGCACTGTTCGGGCCCATTTGTTCTTTTTTTCTCGGTTCATGGGGGCTCTCATGGGGGAGATGAAGGGAAATCACTACATCACTTTATTCCACTTTTTGTGGGGATGTTTTTCACTCCTGCGGTTTTATTTGTTTTCTCTTGAACGCAAAAAGGCCATGGTGGCAGAGTTTGCTGATGCGATGCGCAATGACAGGGGTACAGAGGCCGTGAAGGGAAGCGTTGTGGGTTCACCCTGCGGAGGTTTGATGGCTCAATCTGAGGAGAGGGCAATCGCAGGACCGAGGCGGAAAGACCCATGCCATATATTTTTTCAAGAGTGCGTCCCGATTCGTATCCAGCTGTTGGCCAACTTTGCTTTGAAAGTTGCCCGAATACAGAAGGGGCTGATTTTTGCACTTCAATCTGAGCGATGCAGGGGTTACGAGGATTTGTTCACTTCCGCTTTTGCTGACATTGCCCCGCGGAGGCGAAGTGGGACCCCAGAGGAAAAATATGGGCTTGTCCTTAGCGATGTTCGTTTGCTGCATCGTGGCAGGCACAAGGTGAGGGAACGCTGCTATCAGGTACGCGTCATTCAGTCACTGGCCCCTGCCTTTCCCCTGGTACATACTGGGGATGTCATTCTCTCTATTAATGGAAGGTCGGTGGCGACAATCGAGGGCGCCCGATTGGAGTTGTGGGAACATCCAAAGAAAGTACAACTTCTTCTTTTGCGGGAAGCGAGAGTATTTTCAGTTATCTTTGCTTTATAGTTGGATTATTACCGTTCTGCAGCAATTTGTTTTAAGAATGACAATTATTTTTTATTTATATAGTACTGCTACTACTACTGCGAATAATAATAATAATAATAATAATAATTATTATTATTATTATTAATTGTAGATAGGGACACAATTAACTGGAACTTTCTGCGAAATTATTTTGGACCGCATGTTCTTTTTTTCTTCTTAAAAAAAAAAAAAAATACGGTAGTAGCAGCAGCAAGATTTCTTCTTTCTTATATATATAAATTTTACCGGCAATATGTCTGTTCGTCAAATTCTTTTTTCCTCTGAACACGTGAGTGAGGGCCATCCTGACAAGCTTTGTGACCAAGTGTCTGACGCTGTGCTGGATGCATGCCTTGCATCGGATCCTCTTTCAAGGGTGGCTTGTGAAACGTGCTCCAAGACAGGCATGATCATGATTTTTGGTGAAATAACCACAAATGCGGTGCTCGACTATCAGAAGGTGGTCCGCGATGCGGTGAAGGAAATTGGTTTTGATGATGGCGAGAAGGGGTTGGACTATCGCTCGTGCAACCTTCTGATTGCCATTGAGCACCAGTCTCCAGAGATCCTCCAGAGTCTTGGGGACTTTGACGGCGAGGGACTTGGTGCTGGTGATCAGGGCATGATGTTTGGCTACGCAACTGACGAGACGGAGACATTTATGCCACTCACATACGAGTTGTCACGCGGACTTGCTGTAAAGTATAGCGAACTACGCCGTAATGGGACACTACCGTGGGCTCGTCCGGACGCGAAGACGCAGGTCACTGTACAGTATGAGTACGACTCACGTGAAGGAAGACAGCTGCTGACTCCTAAGCGTGTGGCTGTTGTTCTTATCTCGGCCCAACACGATGCTGATGTGAAAAACGAGACACTCCGCAAGGACCTCATGGAAAAGGTCATCAAGGCCGTGATCCCTGCCCACATGCTTGATGCCGATACAAAGTACCACTTGAATCCTTCTGGCCGATTTGTAATTGGCGGCCCACACGGTGATGCTGGCCTTACTGGCCGCAAAATCATTGTTGATACCTACGGTGGTTGGGGCGCCCATGGGGGTGGCGCCTTCTCTGGCAAGGACCCTTCAAAGGTGGACCGTTCGGCGGCCTACGCGGCCCGCTGGATCGCCAAGTCGCTTGTCGCCGGAGGTCTTGCACGTCGTTGTCTCGTTCAACTGGCGTACGCTATTGGTGTTGCAGAACCGCTGAACATTCACATTGAAACCTATGGCACCGGCAAGTATGATGATGGACGCATCCTGGAGATCGTGACGAAGAATTTCAGGCTTCGCCCGTACGATATTATAAAGGAACTAGATCTTCGTCGGCCCATATATCACATGACCTCGCGCTTTGGCCACTTTGGACGCGAAGACAAGAGTGGCAGGGGTGGATTTACCTGGGAGATCCCCAAGAAGCTCGATGAGTCGTGCTAAGCGAGAAGGGTAGAAGCGTCGTGTAATGTGTGAAGTCTCCCATTTTTTTTCTTTGACGATTTATTGGTGGCCTGCGCTTCCATTTTTTTTTTTTTGTTTTCCCTTTTTTTCTTATGGTGAATGTTGCGTGGTAACAGGCATTTCCCATTTAAATAATTTAACAGAATTAATTAAGTAAGAAAAAAAAAAAAAAAAAAAAACCATCTCTTTATTAAGTTTGATATAAACATACGATCTGTGTTAAGACGTTTGGGTTGACACGGAGGCCTTGGCTCGTGTTGGATTTTCAGTTTCTTTTCCCTGCGGCGGGTGGGGCTCTGAATAGTTCCGTGTCTTTTTTTTTGGCTCTAATGTATTTTTTTTGTTGTTGTTGTTGAATGTTAGGAGTTTTGAGCAATAGTGGGTACCAATGCTCGTGTCTTGTATTAGGCGGCAAGCTGACCGTCGTACTCGTCATCACATGATGCTTGACGGCCAGATCAACCCTCGTGAGTGGATGAACTGGCATCCGAAGGAGTACCAGCCGTGGTATTTTGATCGCCATAAGTTTCTTTATGAGCGGCAACAATACGCACACTTTCACCACCTTCTTTGTCATCAGGTATTTCTTAAAGATATGCTTCATTTGGTGCAGCACCCAGAACCTTATACGCACATTATCGATTGTAGGACTTCGCCGCTAAAGATGCATCGTTGGGTTCCTCACAGCTGGTGGCTACCAAGGGATGAAGTTGAGTATGCTCTTCAACTTACCCCGGACGAGTTTGCTGACATGTATGGGTTTCATAAACCACGTAAGTCAGACGATGTTATTCTTGTTTCCCACAACGGCCTTTACTCTGAACAGGCCGGTTGGGAATGGAAGAAACAGTTTTACCAGCACGTTTACAATTACCGTGGCGGGACAAATGAACTGTTTGGGGAGCAATACAATGACGTAGCGTTGAAGGATTCTCTTCC